CGATGGGCCATTCACTGAGAATGCCCTGCCTGCAGTCCTCTTGTGGCTATAGCTGGGACAAATGTCGCAGCTGATCTACAGCTGTGGTATCCTAAGAGGAGAAAGAACCTGGCTCATAGCCAGATTCCAAACATTGCTAGGCTTCTAGATTACAAGACTGTTATGCGCTCTGAAACAAGCTGATGGCTACTGTAGATCATGTAACACAGCTGCTATATGCTCTCCCTGCAAGGAGCACTGCTGCTTGAATGGACTGCCAAGTTATATACTAACTGAAGCTTCCAATTGTATACTAGCTGAAGCTATCTTTACAAATATCCCTGTGTAAAAGTAAATTACAGTAATCCAATCTCAAGGTAACAAGGGCACGGGGTAACTGTAGTGATATCTTCATTTGAGAGAAAAGGTTACAACCTTCCAGCCAAACGCAGGTGAAAAGATGTATTCTTTGCCATTCAAGCTATTTGATTCCTCAGAAGCAGTTAGGAACCTGATAATGTATCACAAACTGCGGACAGACTCTGAAACAACCTTTGTCAGGTCTTCTGATTGTTTGCTCCTGCTTACAAGAATGAACCCTGTCGTTCTGGGATCAAATCTACTGGGACTGGGCACCCGTGTGAGGAGGAGCTCGTGGGTGAGAAACAGGTTGAACAAGGAGCCTGCAGGTTGGGGGAGACTGGGACAAGGAGCTCTCTGAGTAGGCAGGAGGAATGCAACAGGCTGGGCAAGGATCCCAGGGAGGGAGACTGGACTAGCTGAGCAGGCTAATACTAGGATGAGGAGCCTCAGGGGGTGGAGACTGGGCTTGGTGAAGGTAAAGAGACTGTGGTATGTCTACACTTCATCATTTATAGTGGCGCAGCTGCAGTGGTTCTGGTGAAGATGCTCTAAGCCGATGGCAGAGAGCTCTCCTGTCAGCTTAATAACTCCTGCCTCAGTGATGGGAGAAGCCCTCCTGTTGACATAGATTTTTCACCCCCCTGAGCAACACAGTTATACCAATGTAAGTTTATGTTGTAGACCTGGCCTGTGATAGGGGGATGGGGATGTGGGTGGGGAGACAGGACTTGCACCAGAAGAGTCTGGAGGAGTCATGGGCAAAAGGGATTGGGGTTTGGGGAAAGTAGCAAAAGGGTCTGTGACCACTAGAGCTCAAAATCTGGACTGGAACCCCAAATTCCTGATTCTTGCTATTCCTCTGTCAACAAATATCTGAACCCCACTAGCAAAATATATGTGTCTAATTCTCTTCCCACTCTGCAGCTGGCTCACATAGAGAATGCCAGCCTACTATTGCTGTCATCATGTACTCTGTTAGATCAAGTGGCAAAGGCCTGTGGGGTGGATTGAAAGGTTCCAGCCCGACTGATGGCCAATGTGGGTGTCAGTATGAATACGCATGATGGAATTTCTGGTTTTCAGATAGCTTTCTCAAAAACTTAGTTTCTTTGTGTTTAATTCCCAAGTTTAAAAAAGAAAAAACCACTAATGTTGCATAGGCTAGCACTGAAAAGTTTCCAAGAAACACTGGGGAGACACTGAAGTGTCTAGTGCGGTACCTCATAATCCTGCAGATACTAGTGAGCTGCAGGGAAGTGTATGCCCAGTCCAGGGGCAGAAGTGGCCATGCTTTTATTATTTAGTATTTCTATTCCACTGTCACCTAGAGGCATCAGCTGATATTGGGGTCGAATTGTCAAAGTACCATGGAGACACCTAGTAAGAGACTCCCTATCTCAAAGAGCTTACAATCTAAATAGATAAGACAGACACAGCGTGAGAGGAGACACACAGAGCTTAAGTGTTTTACCCAAGATCACACCTGAAGTCCGTGGCTAAGCCAGGAGTAGAACCTAGTCCAGTAACTTACCTACTGGACCATGCTGCCTCTTTGGTATGGGCTGTGTTGGTTGATTGGGCAGTAACTGCAAAAGGGATGCAGGAAGGAGCAGTATTTAACTCATAATTGGATTTTCACATTGAAATCCATGGGGTTAGCAGGAGCCAGTCCAGGCTGATCTGCTATTATGCAATGCGCTTCCTCCAAAATCTTGCAAACTACCCCACTTGCAGCACTAGGGTTACCATACGTCCGGATTTTCCCGGACACGTCCAGCTTTTTGGGCCTCAAATCCCCGTCCGGGGGGAAATCCCAAAAAGCC